CCAACAAGGTATGGTACAACAACATCAAAATCGTAATATGATAGATGTTACTACGATGACTCTCTCATAATATGATCATGTAACCATGACGGGCCACCAAGAGCAAGGTAAGAATGAAACTGACCATTCCTGGTCACACTTTTGGAGATCTATCGAGCCACCACATTTGCACTTACACTCTCCTATGCAAAGTTGCAAGAATCGAAAAGCAGGCGAAGTGCTTCCACTTGATTTAGTAGCATATAGTATCGTGGCCATTTCATTGGTTATGAGACCGCAGCGAAAACAGCTTTTGCAATCAAACGCAAAAGTCACATCTGTGTAATGCAGATCACATAGACTTTGCATCACCCAGAGAAGACATTTCAGTTCCGCCACAATACAGTTTGGGGAACCTTGCATTGCATCACGCACATGTAGTAGAATTGCACCCGAACTGTCTCTTGCAATCCAAGAAATTCCACTATGAAGCCTTGTAACGACCGCGAACCAAATTCTGTGAATTTGGAGTGTGCGTTGATCGACGTAAGGTTAAACTGAACCGACGATTAAGATTGCATTTGATAGTACCACCACCTAGACGATTCCACTCTCCGAGATTGGTCTTTGGATCATGCTAGAAGAAATAAGCACCATTGAATCCAACTGTAATTGTTTCCAATGTTGAGCTTCTTCCTGAGCACGAGCCACTACTTGTTCCAATGCAGTATGAATTCCCGAATACAATATATTGTTGCGGTTTTTCAATATAGTCCACAATATCCAAGGGATTGAATTTCTAACGTCTTCTAGAATGTGTTGCATCTCCAGTGTATCCAGAATAAATTCCATATTCTCTTCCAACGAATCAGTAAACCCTCCAACCGGTGTTGGAACATGAGCTAGATCGAAAACTGATTTCGCTGTCGAACATATCATATGGTTTCTATGTTCTGGTTGCATAGTTTGCACTAAAGATCAGCATATATGCCTCGGGTTTGTAGTCTATCCATCACTGCAATGGGTCCAGCCACCACTCACCATAAAAAAATCGTATCTTAGGCAGCGTAGCAAGCCGCCAAATCCTCTGCTTCAATACAAGTCTTCTCTCCTCAACATAAGATCTTGGAGAAACTAGTGTAATTGGATGATTAGAGATCAACCAGTATCCACTTTTGACAGTGCAAGCAACATTGTTTTTGTAAGACCAAATGTATCGATCAACAATATGTCCAATCTGCATCTTTAAAATTCGGGAAGCATCAACCAAAGGGAATAACTCATGTACTACGCTTGTATTCCAATAGCCAGTAGCATATATTAGAGAAGCCACATCTAGGTTGAGGTCAATGAACTGCTGCTTATGTATTGGAGCCCGTTAATGAGAATCCAATATCCGTTTTTCACA